CAGCAGTTGAGCTTAATGGAGTGATAATACACCCACACTGAGAAGGGGAAGAAGAGAGGAATGATCAGTGTGACATGATTTCTTTATACAGAATAGCATGTCTGAGAAGGGTAGGACTGAGCTGAACATGGAAGGCTCAACTGAAGTCACCTGTGGGGAGCCTGGGGGGACACAACCATGGCCCTGCCAAGCTGCCTGCAGGTTTAGCTGCCTTCTGAAAAATTGCTTGAAGCACAGCAATGCTGGAAAGCCATGAAAACAGCATCCTGCATGGGCAGTACAGAGGAAATACAGCAGTGGGTGTCACTGTCATAGCACCAGTGTGGGCATGTGTGTTGTTAAAAGTATATTTGTGCTGTCTCCTAGCCTAAGTTGTTCTGCAGACTGCACAGGCTGAGTCAGCTACCACCTAAACAATTGGTGAGACCTAGCAGACAAACAAAAGGCTTTGAAATGTATTAAATTCTGGGCTGTGATTGGATGTGCCCTGCAGCAGGTCAGATGTGCACTCCAGGCAGGTGTTTGCCCCAGTCACTGGAAGAATTTTAAAATGAATGTAAAAAGCAGTGTATGCAGTGTAGTATCTCTCCTGTTAGCTTAGCTGTGCTTTCAGAAAAATGCACAGTGCACTATGAAGTCAGCTGTTAAGTACATTTAATTACTCAGCAATTATTAAGAAAAAACAGGCATGGAGTTCTTTCATCTTTTGTTTTACTTTGTTTGACAGCATTTTATGGCAGGAACATTTAGAAGCAGAAGGTCAAGAAAACAGACTTTTCAGACTTTGTGCTTACTTAACTCTTTATCAGGTGAATATCTTCACCTGCCTCTAAGAGGAGCAGTAACATTTACTCTGGGCTTGCCAAATTGGTGTAGCAGATCTGTGATGCTCCCCTTGAACTAGGGGATGTGTGTGTACTAATGAATAACAGCATGAGCTGAAGAGAGTTGTACCCTGGGCCACTCTGGGTGGAAATAAATGTTCAACGTGGACCTAAGTGTGGCAAAGGATGGCATTATCTCACTGCTACCGGCACATGCAACTCGCTGAGCCCCCCCTGGTTTGCAAACTGCATGGTCAGAGAAACAAAACCAGTACCAAAGGCTGTTCTTCAGCAGCCACCATGCTGGCCAATATTTATGTTCTGTTTTCAGCTGTAATTGTTGGCAACACCATGCCAAAGTAGGAAAGAGGGAAATTAAATACCATCTTATAAGATGTGTAGGTGTACTCAGAGCACTCTTCCTTCTCACAGTCTCAAGAACTGGGGATTTTTTCCCCATCCTGGAAGGTTAAAATCAAAATTGTGCTTTAGCGGGAGTTACTTTTCAGAAACAGCAGCCAAATTAAAGATATTTCAAACATGACTGCAGAGTATGGATAGATCAGGAAACAGTTTTAGGTGAGATTTCCAAATTGCAGTTGCACCTCCCTAAACCCCTTTTGACATAGCTCTGCTGACAGAAACCAGTAATAGGTCTGGTGATTGCTCACTGCAAACTCAGCCTTCTTTGGGCTGCTCTCTTGTTTCTTAGTGCACACAGCAGGCAGATAAGTGTGAACCATTAAAATAATGTTTATGTGATTGTTTAATGTTACTGTTTAATACAGGCTTGTGTGTATAAATCACAGGAGTTGAGCTTAATGGGGTAATAATGTAATAATCACATTGAAAAGGGATGAAGAGAGGAATGATGAATGTGAATTTTTCAGGAGAGAAAGGTGAAGTGATCTGGGGCACTGTTTCCACTTGTGCTCCAGACTTCCCATGTGACTTTGGATAGAAGGTTGTACCCTTTTGGGACCTCAGTTTCTTCTACATTAAATTGTAATTCCAAACACATTCCTGTAATTGTGCCAGTTCGAGTGCAGAGAGAAGAGCTTCAGACCTACAGCTACCAAAAGGCCCAGAAAATTGCAGAGGCTGGTTTTGAAAGATGCCAGTGCCACCACCCAAGTATGAGTTTATGTACCTCACCTGCTTAAAATGTTTTAGACAATTATATTAGGAACCAGCCTGCTGAGTGTCCAAATGGCACAAAGATTACAGCTCCAGCGTCTTTCATGTCCAAACAGGTTTGAAACTAGAGACTTGTATTCCTTATTTGCTGAACAGATTCTTAAAATGCTGCTAAGTGATAATGTTTCTGTTGTTGTTGTTGTTTGTTTTGTGTAATTAGGCTCTAGCAGAACAATTGCAATCTCTTTTACTTTGTGTTTTGCTGTGCTGGATACACATAGCCCTGATTTTAGTTCTTCTGTAGATTTAAGTTCAATAAAAATAACAATAGTTCTACTAATGAGGATAACTATATGAAGCCAGGAATCATGCTAAATTAGTAACTATTAGTGGCTTAGATCTGTAATGAAGATTTCCTTGCCCTCTGTGTGTGCCTTAATTCATTACAGAGAAGTCCATAATATTTTATAAAAAACATTTTTACTTTTTTTTCCCTGAAACTCTTGCCCAAAACTATTGGAAAAGCAGGTGCTTTCCTGTAACAACAGAATGAGACAAAGGGCACTGCTTGCTTTTATTGTTGTACAGAAGTGGTTTTCCTTTGGACACAGATAGACTTGGCAATGGAAAGTACTGGAGACTAATGGACACAAGCTTCAAAGCTTTCTGTGTGGGCCCTTGGAAGACAAAAAAAAATATCTCATTTCTGTTCTAATCAATCTGGATATAGAAAGAAAAGTACTCCAGCTCCAGGCTCTTGGGGAACCTCTTACTTTTATTCAGAGGCAGAGTGGGCAGCAAGTGCTGTCCCTGTATGTGTCTGCAGGAGAAAAATGAAAGGGGTAAAAAGGGAAAAAATGAGGCAGAGTAATTTTGTGCTCTGGAGGCTGGGTAATTCACCTGTCTACAGGTATTTATTCTGGTGGTCTTTAGGGACGTGTTCAAGTCACAGCAGAAGAAAGGCTAAAATTGTTTCAAGGAGTCCCCATACTTAAGAGTTAAGTGAGTGGGAACTGTATGAATTTGAATGTGAGTAAAACCAGTTAAATTCAGATCCCTTTTCTAATTTGTTGCCTCAGAATCTTTCTCAGATCTCCTCCTCCATTATCCCATCAAATAGTCCTTATTTATTCATTTATTTATTTCTTCACATACATTGAGGAAGAAAAGGGAAGGAGTCACTCCCCCCAGTGAGGACCATCTGCTCTTTTCTTGTTGGGAGGGAAAAAACCCTACAATTAGTGTCTTGTTCATCTCTTTGTTTTACTAAAAAAAAAAAGAGGGGGAAAGAAAGTAAAAGAACTATTATGCAAATATCTGCAATTTGGTTTCAAATATTCTTTGTACTATGATGAGCAATTTCCTTTAATACAAACTCAGCCTACTTGCCAGAACTATTTTTTTTTTTAAATTTTGCATTAATATATGGAAGGGAAAAAAACCCCAACTTTTATGTTCTTCTGGTGGCAAATTTGTCTCATCCTTTTTTTTTTCCACTTTCTTTCCTTGGCACTATTACAGCTGTTATTCTGTAAGTTGTCACATGTCATATTGGGGTTTTTTTGAGGAAAAAAAAAAGACGACAGCCAAAATAGCCTTACAGAGCCACAATTCGATCTCACTTTTCATTGTTCCATTGCCATGATGAAATGGTCCTGAAATGGAGGACTCGGTGAAAGAAAGAGAAGAGCTTTCTCCTTGCTGTATTTGAATGCCAGTGGCTTGTGATGGCAGCATTACCTCTAAAAACAGTTATTTAGGGTTTTTATAAGGGGGTCCTGTGCTGCTGGTCAGGGGTGTGAACTTTAGGGTCAAATAGCATAGCCAAGATAAAACCTGCTGGTCCTTGGTCCTGGACCAGCTTGGTAGCTGAAACCTAGCATGGTAGCTGAAAACTTCTTATAGTCTGGAAAAGGGAAATAAAGTCTTTTCTGTGTACAAAGGTTACGTGTGGAAAAAATCAAAACAAACTCACCCAAGACCTGATGGGAGAGGTGATGGAAGTATCAGATGCTGAGCTAAGAGGCTCAGATTTAGAATGCAAACATGGTGTAAATGACTTCATTACCTGAAGCTGTAATTGGAAGATTAACTCCTGATAATGCAAATGGACCACACTTATGAAACTGTGAAAACCTGTAGGCCATTGCCAGTTTTTGGGTGTAGCCCCTGGGTGAGCTTCCTCTGCCCTAAATGTACCTGAAGGTCCTTCAATAAATATAGCTGGTTTTTATTCCCTTAATTTTGTCTGGCCTCTGTTTGCAGGTAGCCCCAAAAAGGCATTAAAACAAGACCAAGGAGACTTTGAGTGAAGTATGTCACACCTGCATCTTTTTTTGTGGCTGCAATGGAACAGGGAATGCAGCCTGCACAAATCTAAAGTTCTGCAGGGCGGTGCAGAATTTTAGATTTGTGCTGACTCTTGTTTTTGGGGGCTCAGAACATCAAGTGGGCATTACATGGGCCTTGGAGGTTGACTAGGAATGCCTAGCACTGGCCAGACAGGGAATTCATGGTGCTCAGGGGAACACTGTTATGGGATCCTTCAGCCACTTCAGTATTGGAATAAATTACACAGGACTCTATTTTCTTCATGGTGGAAAAAGCCAATTCTTTATTCACATAACTCCTTTTTATACAGTTTTGTAGACTTTGTGTGCAACTTTAATTGGTTACTAACTTTCTGGCTAATTATTTTATTGGTTAGTCACAAGTTGTTACCCTGTATAGATTGGTTACTTAAAGTCTCAATGTGCATGGTCAGGAAAGGTTGTTTAAGAGAAATAGTTTTCATTTTTCCATCTAACAGTGTAAAAACAGTTTATACAGGTGCAGGTTGTTTTTCACCCATGAATAGATTGTTATGCTTTCACTAGGATTGCTTTCACATGGGAACCTGCAAAGGGCTGGCCTGACAAGGAGAGCAGGCTTGATTTTATGAAGCCTTTCTTTATGATTTCCTAGTTTACTACAACAACTCGAGTGCATTGAGTCTTTGAGCACACCGGGGTAACCTTTGGGTCACTTTTATTGTTGCAGGAAGCTCTCATCATGGCCAGCATGGACCACCCACACCTGGTGAGACTCCTGGGTGTCTGCTTGAGCCCCACCATCCAGCTGGTCACTCAGCTGATGCCTCATGGCTGCCTCCTGGATTATGTCCATGAACATAAGGATAATATTGGTTCCCAGCTCCTGCTGAACTGGTGTGTCCAAATAGCTAAGGTATGTAGTTCATGTTGGGGTTTTTTAATCATGTCTTGTTGTTTTCATAATTAACTTTAAAACATGACTTTTCTTTTTGTTTGTGTTGGGTTTTTTTCAGGCCTGTTTTTATTTCGAAGAAGGTTGAGTAGTTCTTTAAATACACACTATTTTGGCTGCTTTACAGCGTTATAGATGACTCGTCAACATGTGAATCAAAGTGTTTTTCTTGACTGTTGTCTTGGTTTGAAAAGACCAGTGTCTGCTAAGGAAGGCAGAAGCCTCCTTGAAATAGGAAATGTAAACCCCCTCCCTCTGAATTATTATAATTTTCAAATTAAGGGGCTCTCAGGCAAAGATATACGAGTAGGAATAACAGGAGATCTCCTGGAGGGAGGATTGGCTGTGGGATAGATAAAGAAAACTGCCCAATGAACAGAAGAGAACTGCCCCACCTCTGACAGATTGGAATAGAATACCCCTAAACCATATCTTACATCCCAGGACAACTGTCTTTCCAACTCAATGTTAATGAGGAATTCTTTTTTGGGGTGAGGGTGAGTGAGGAAAGAAACCCCCATGTGAATTCTGGGGCTGGACACAGGGTGTTTTCTCAGCCTCCTCTGTTGTTCACTGTTAATATATATACTGGTTTTCAGCCCTTCTGGATCTGCATTGCCAGATCTGTCATCACTTTTCTGTTGGAAGATAAAGATGTCCTTCATGTCACTCCTGGGGTGGTGATATTGCTACATTTGGGTCACAAACTATCCTTGGCACAATGTTTTAGAGCTGGTTTTGGGCACATTTAGGTATTCAGTGTTGTACTAAGAACAAGTACTCAGCACTAAGAAAATTGTTTGCAAAGAATAACAAGATGTTTCAGTGTAGAAGGCCATAACTTATCCATTTTAAAGGTACTTTTGAACAACTAGGGTTGTTTACTACAAGTGGCAATTTGGAGCCTGCCTTTTGCATTGAGTCATTTGGAAGTTGTTTACAGTTTTAGATTATTTTGGAGAAAATGCTTGTTATAAACACATGCCCACAGACTGCTATCTTACATTAAATCTGCAGCCTTAAGTGAATTTTCTACAACATCTATTACAGAATCTTAATTCAAGTTGTAATGTTAATCTTTTGGCACTGAAGAGAAACCTGGAGATTCAGCAATTGTTTTGCTGGACCCAATATTAAGTAAACATTTGCCTCTTTTAACAACTTAAATACAAAAAAAAAAAGGTTCTTATAAAAGAAAATGTAGAAATTCAGCTAGCCTTGTGTTGTTATTCAGGAACAGCAGAATTTAGAGGAGCATCACAAATAGGTCCTGTTTTCTTTCCAGAATCAGGTCTTTTGTTAAACCTTCCTGAAGAAGAAAGTAGATTAAGTGGCTGTAGGGCTGGGTAGAGAGGGGGGAACCCAAATCTGACATTGCAGTATTTTGTAGATGTGTGAATGTCCTGTGCTGTGGTGGTAAAGCAACCAGAGTTGCTGGGGAGTACTGCAACACACCAATGGGAATTGCCTGTATGGAGATGTGCAAAGGTTTATTTAGGGCTGACACCAGACCAGGGAAGGTGGGAGACAAAATCCATATTCCTGTTTGAGTCCTCTCTATCAACACAGCCTCCTCCCCGTCTGTTCTCCACACTTTGATTGATAGTGGCTGTTATTATTTGATGCAAAACATTTATGCAGTGCCACCATGCAGAGGTAATCCTCCATGGTTTTCACTTTGTGAGTGCATATGGCCCTTGACTCCTTGGGCCAGGGCTGTGCTGGCTTTGCTGTGAGCCTTGTAGTGGAGCAGACAGCCTGATCCACAGTTTACAGATCTCTGGGAGGGCCTGTGGAAGGCAGGTCATGGCTTTCCCGTGGTGATTCTTACCAAAGTGTGTGTGGTGGTTTTTCACAAACAGGACAGGACTGCTGGGGTTCATTCCTTGAGCTTTATTGCCGCCTCAGCCTCATTGCATGGTTGAGACAATTGAAAGATGGCAAAGCTCATGTCCTGCCAGCAGCACAGATTTCTTTGTTACAGAGCATTTTAAAAACTTTCCAGCCAGTAGCGCATTGCTAAAGCTTACACACTTGTTCTCTCCAATCACTAAAAGTACATCTGCTTCACACAATGCTTACTTGTATTCTTTTTATTAACAACACACAATACTTCATTATTAAGCTTAAAACCTTCTACTATCTTGCTAAGCACATTTTCCTGCAGTCTTAAAGTTTATCTTCATTGCCGCCTCAGCCTCATTGCAGGGTTGAGACAATTGAAAGATGGCAAAGCTCACGTCCTGCCAGCAGCACAGATTTCTTTGTTACAGAGCATTTTAAAAACTTTCCAGCCAGTAGCGCATTGCTAAAGCTTACACACTTGTTCTCTCCAATCACTAAAAGTACATCTGCTTCACACAATGCTTACTTGTATTCTTTTTATTAACAACACACAATACTTCATTATTAAGCTTAAAACCTTCTACTATCTTGCTAAGCACATTTTCCTGCAGTCTTAAAGTTTATCTTAGCCAAGCCTAAAATTCAAGCTACAGTTTCATACCTTTGCTTACTATACTATTGTTACTTTTTCTACTTTCAAACTTTACAGCTGCAGCTAGCTTTAAGTTTTCTATTCTTTCTGCTTCTAAAGCCTACTTTTACAGCTTTCTAGAAATCTTTTTACCTTTACTATTTCCCACATTGTGAAGCAGCCTCTGAACTGATTGCCACTGTGCATGGCTTCAGCTTAATGTGGGGTTTGGATTTAGGGATATTTCTTGGAAAATTGTTGCTGCTGCAGTTCTTGATCACCCCTGTAATGTGAGAGGAGAAGATGAGGTGTCACAGACACATGAGCTCTGAGGTGGTAACCAAGCAGTGCAAAGAAGTGAGATCAGAAATGTAATATCAACTGATGCAGTGTCAGGAAGAGAAAGGGAATTCCTTTGTAATAAAAATTGGCCTGTTATTGAGAGAGTTTAGTGAAGTTTATTTATGCTAGTTTATTGAAAATTAATTAAATTTATGTTCTTCCACGTCACAGTAATCATGTCAATCATTCACAAGAGGGCGTGCACAAAAAATTGTTTCAACTATGGTAAGAGGAAAAACCTTTGAGATCACCAAACATGGAGTCCCCCTATCCCAAAAAGTAGAATTAAAGTAATACTCATTTTCCATTAATCTGTCACTTTTAACAGTGACTAGAAAACAGGAAGGGTACCATTTGCCTTGAAATAAAGTGATCTCCAGAGGAATGAGTTCAGAAGGCAGCAACTGGCACAAATCCCCATTCACTGCAGGAAGGTGCACATGTGTGTCCCACTTTCCTGTACCCACTATGCCCATGTTTCAGGCACTTCCATAAGGCTTGGGAGTGTCTTTCCACGTGTTGCTTTTCTAGGCTGTGGGCAATGATTCGTTGTGTCTTTCTGCAAGGTACCAAAAGCATAATTACCAGAGTAGTAAGAGGCAAAAATCATCAGTGACTTGCCAGTCCTGTTCTCTGCTCCCTGAAGCAGCTCCTGGTATCTTTTGCTAGATGCATTGTTCTACCTCACCTTCCCTGTTTTATGGGGAGGATTTTCTCCAGCAAGAAGAGGGCTGAAGCCACTGGAAATGCCTCAGGTCTGAAGTTCAGGCTGATTTTTAGGAATTGCTTAAAATCAAGTTGCTGTTGTGACACAGTCCCTCCCTAACTGTGCTTTTCTCCATCTGCCAGTGTGCAGGCACTTATTTATGGAAGTCATTGCTTCAGAGCTCACTTGTTCTGCCAGGCTGTTCATTTCCATATGTCTCTACTGCTGTACAACTAGATGCAAAGCTAGTTAGCCACTATGCCTGCTTGCCAACCCACATATGGAGATAGCTTCTGAAGGCTGATGACAGGGCAGTTATAAAGCATTATCTACTGCCAATTGGAAAAGGCTTGGGTGCTTTTTCTCTTTGCTTATACAGATTGTGTTGAATTTATTCTGATGTTACATCATTGTAGGGTAATTGTGTTCTCCTTCCAGAAGCTTTAGCTTCTTATTTTATGGATGAAAGCTATAAAAATAGAGTAGCCCCCAAGCATTCTGCATAAAACATGGTTGTTAGACAGCAGCTGTGTCTAAGGGGGCTCTTCCCTTCTGCTCTGCAGATTCACAAGGCTTCTCCTGGTGTCACACTTCCATGGGGATTGCCTTGCTTGGAAATGAATGTTTAACCTTTTAGCTCTGAGATCAGCACAGCAATTTTACCTGGAGTTTGCTGTCCAGTAAAGCAGTGAGCTGTGCTCAGGTATCAAGGTATTTTGGAGTGGGAGCAAGAGTGTCCACCTTGGTGACCTCAGGGTATGGAAGGAGGGAATAATACTTCATGAACATCCTTAGTGTTGGCTCCTTGAGAGGTGGATTGAAACTCCAATTCTGTATGGATGGCACAAGCCTGGAAGTGAATTCTCAGTAGGTCAATCACATCCCTCTCAGCCAGGCTGTGACACATAAGTCAGGAAGATTCCACAAACAAACACAAAAAAAGTGCTGTGTGCATTGACATTTCAATGTGTTTGATGCAGTTTCTCTCAGCTAGGGCTGCCCCAGCACACCCACACACACAACTTAGAGCTGTAAGGGTGAGGACATTCTCATGGAAATGCCTTTAAGAAGGCTTCTGTAATGTTGCATACAACACATGCTAACTTCAGCATAGACCTGGGCAGTTACATCTCCTCTTAAACTGTTGGGTTTCTTTTCCCTCTTAAAATTATGGTTTCTTTCTGCTGCTGTTGATTTGAATGACATCTGCACTCATCTTGCTGAGCACTGTTCAAGGACAGAGTAACTTTTTCCTGCCCCAAAGAAGTCAAGGTGGAGGGACAGTCAGGAAACAAACTTCCTAACATGAGGCAGATTGCCTGTGATCACTTAGGCTGTGAGCTCAGCTCTCCTAGATCTTAGTCCCATCCTGTTCTGCCCTGTGTCCCCCAGGGGCTTCCAGACCTGATTTTGTGTTCTGAACTATAATAATTCTTT